GAATGATAAGAGGGGCATAAGGGATTATCGTACACGTAGGTCGGTTTTGTTGTTTGGGCTTTTGGCCTTTTCTAGTAAAAAGAAAAAAAAGAAACACGTTAATAACTTAGGCAAATAATTTGTAAGTTCAGAAAGTCCATTTTGACATTGGACCATAAGAACACTAAAATTGGGGTTGGATAGATCGAATAACTAGAATTATAATTCGAGTAAGAAAAAATTGAGAGAAAGAAAGAAAAGTTCAGATCGTAGAAATAAAATAAAATTTAAATAGTTTAGATAATTCTCCGAAATGGTAAATTTCTATCCGAATTATTGGAATGCTCACTTTTTTATGCTTTTGAAAATCTCAAATAGTTTTGAATTAACCATTTACTGTGGCAACCAAAGAGGGATTAGAAAATTGTTTGGTGAACTAAAGTTTTCAAATTATCTTTTTAAAAGTAGCTTTTATAATTAAAGGAGTTATGCAATTCCAAAATATCTTTTTTAAATATTTAGGTTCCGTTATGAAAACTTACTATTTCTTAGAAATCTTAAAATATTGATAATAAAAAAAAAATCCATATAATACCTGAATAATTGTCTAGTTAAAGAGTAGGTTTAATTACATTTTTATTTAACTTTCAAGCAAAACAAAAACGTAAAGCGATCATGTATAAAATTTCTTTTACTTTATGTATTTTGAAATAAATTAATAATTTTCTCATTGAAGAACGTTTAAAATCTCAAATCAACTTTGATAAAAAAAAATAAAAAAAAAATTGTAAATTTCATGTGAGGGGGCAATGACATGTATATCAAATATAAATAAGTCCATTACCTAGCCTTTCTTATAGCTTGTGAGGTTGTGAACAACAACCAAAATTCATGAGGAATGCAACAACCATCCTGCAAGACACTCTTATGCACACGTAGGATAGGAGCTATAAAAAATAAAATCAGAAATCTATATAATATTATGCGCCCTTGAACTATGAAGCACCAGTGGTCTAGTGGTAGAATAGTACCCTGCCACGGTACAGACCCGGGTTCGATTCCCGGCTGGTGCATTCTCAAGCTGTGATGATATCAGTGCTCAGTGTGATGATTGGGTCTATCGCTACCATCTGATCTTCGTCGGATGAGATGGAGTACATCTGAGCTTAGTTTTCTTTTCCCCCCAACCTTTTTCCTGTCTCGTGTCAAATTGTATCGCTGTTGAAGCTCTCCGTGTCCAAAATAATTTATTTTACGTTCAAAATTCTAGCAGTTACTACAATTTATTACTCGGTTTTTTTTTCTTCGTTTAATCTAATCTCTGCACTTAATTAACATCCTACCAACTACCTAATAATATCCTATATCAACTTACTTTACTCCCGTTAAAATGAAATAAACGAAATTCGAGAATAAATTGCTAAGATGCAAAAAAAAAAAAAAAAAAAGCTCATGTATTTAAGGTGGTATTTTTTTCCCCTTAAAATTTTTAAAATTAGTAATTATCAAAAAGTGTTTTTTTTTTTTTAACATTTTCAAAAGTTTTAAATGGTATTAATCTTATGATCCAATTGGATTGAATTGATTAAATGTTACAAATACATGGTAAATTTTGATCAAATAATTATTTTTTTCCTTCAATGGCACCATCATAATGCATCAACCCTTGTCACTCTGCAAGGTACACTAGCTGTTTAGACTTCAATATAGCCAATAAAATTATTATAAATTATTAAATTTATCTAAATTATTTATTTAATGAATCACATAAAAATAAATATTTTCACATTTAATAGTTTTATCATAACTATAAAATGAAATAATTAATAATGCATCAATTAAAAAATAATATTTTAGTCAGAAATATTTTTACCAAAAAATTTATTCACAATAAAAAAAATCATCCAAATAACATATCAAAGATTTAAGAATATTAAAGAACATAATAAATACTATTAAAAATGTAAAAACATATTAAGCAAAAAATAGAAACAGATTGGTTAAAACGTAGCTTTTTTTTTTTTTTTTTAACAATTTTAAAAACTAAAAAAGGTTTTTAAAAACAACAAAAAATGATTTTTTATTTTTTATTTTTGATTTTCTTTGTGTACAAGATATCACGATTTGACTTCATTTAATCAAGATAGCAGCATGAGCAAATTGATGGGTATAATATATTTTATGTCAAAGATGGTGCATAAAAAACTTGTCTTGACTTGACCTATTGCTCTCTTTTTCTGAAAAATTAAAATTTCAAAAATCTTCAAATGATTTAAAGTTTTAAAATGGTTAGACCCCTAACAATAATGTGGTGTTGAAATGGTGGTGGCATGCTAACAAGGAGGAGCAATGTGATGGTGGTACTAATTTAAAAACATCATGTTTAGTTTCATGTTATGTATTCTGTTAAGGAAAAAAAAAATAGATTAATTTTTTTATAATTTTTTATTTTTAATTATATTTATTATGTCAATGCATATTGTTTGTCTCCACTATATTCTTTCGCCCAATTTTTTAGATCACGATCAATTTTTTTTATGAAAATACTTTTGATAGAAAAAAAAAAAAAAAACTCTTAAAAAATCACATGACTTATATGTTATACGCTTTTTTATTGCCTAGCAAACCACTAGTAATTCAATTACAATTGAGGTTATTTCATGTATTGCTTTAACTTTATCATTTACCATCAAACTAAAACTAAAATGCCATGCTTTTGATTATAACATGTCTAAAAAATAATGGAAAATGGACTCTGCCTCTTATTAAGAAAAATAAAATAAAACAATAATTAATATTGTTACAAAAAAAAAAAAAAAAGGGGTAACGTTCTTAAGAAAGATAATCACCTATTAATTTGATCCTACTAACAAAAATTGCTGGATCACTGTGTTGTTCCAAAATCTAAAAGCATCGAATACACGAGTCTTTTATTTTATTTTGCAACGCACGGAGGAAAAATGCAATTTGACACGAAACAGAAAAAGGAAAAAGACACAAGCTCAGAGGTACTCCTATTCGTCCGATGAAGATCTGATGGTAGTGATAGACCCCCTGTCATCACACTGAGCACTGATATCATCACAGCTTGAGAATGCACCAGCCGGGAATCGAACCCGGGTCTGTACCGTGGCAGGGTACTATTCTACCACTAGACCACTGGTGCTTGTTGATCTACGAAAGCGAAATAGTTATATAATAACAGATACTATTTACCACAACGTAATTAGACTTGTTACAGCATCCCCACATTTTGGTGCTGTAACGTGACTTGAGATTTGACTATGACTAAAATCCTTTTACAGCCTCTGCTAGACTGCTACACTGTGCAGTACAGCTGGAAATTTTGTACATTTTGTGGTAGATAGATGCTGGATTAAAGCCTTTGCGGTCAAATTGCACAACTTTTAGGAGTCCTGGCGGTATCCTTAATAGGATACCTCTACTAAGGTCATGAATTAGTGGAGTGGAGCATCTTATCCGTTTTGCGAGACTAAAATAGTGACCTTCAGGACCTCATTAAAGTTGTCTGAGACTGACTCTTTGGCACAGATGTTAGAAATTATCCATACATCTAAATATATAATACTAAATATTTATTATTAATTTTTTTAATATTCTGAAATTAATTTTTTTAAATAAAATAATTGTTCAAATACATTTTTTATATTAATACTATTGATTATTCAAATATATAATACTAAATTATCTTATCCATTTTTTAATATTTTAGGAGAACCAACCAATTATTTAAATACATTTTTTTATATTAATACTATTGATTATTTTTTGAATAAATATACTTAAATTAAATGTGCATATTTTTTCATTCTTATTTAATTTTGATGAGAATACTTTTTTTTTTTAAAATAGTCTTCTCATCAAAATTAAATAAGAATGAAAAAAATATTCATTTGTTAATTTTATATTAGTTGTTGTTTTATTTTATTTTTATGCAATCTTATAAAAAAAAAAAATACTAAGGCATCTTTTAAAATTTTGGATGGAATATTCTATTTAGATTATTTCAAGTTTTTTATTTAAAAATCAATAATACATAAAAAACTAACAAATCATGTTTTTTTAACTACAAATTTATTAAAAAATAAATAAGAATAAATTATAAAATTGGATATTTTTTCACTTTTAATCTAATATATTTTAGTAAACTTTCAATATAGTATATGCTATCAAATTAAAATTATTTTTTAAAAATAATTTCATATATTTTGTTTATATGGATAACCAAGTATTATTAACTAATTAAGTTAGCTAGTTTCTACACTGAATAATCAATACTGTCATATTTGAACAAGAGTTTATATATATATATATATATATAGAAAGAGAGAGAGAGAGGATATGACTGCTTCTAAATTTCTTGGTATATTATCTTGTACCAATATTGGTATATACCAAGAAACTTAGAAGCAGTCATATCCTCTCTCTCTCCATATATATATATATATTGGTATATTATCTTGTACCAATATTATATATGGAGAGAGAATATATAACATTGGTACAAGATAATATACCAAGAAACTTAGAAGCAGTCATATTCTCTCTCTCCATATAGATACAACTATCATACAAGCAAATCAAGAATATCATCCACGACCAAAGCCTCTATGCATTCTCTACTTACTTCTTCTTTTTATTTTTCTCGATCAACTAATGGAAATTATAATCATTGGTCAAAAAGTTCCCAAAAAAAAAAAAAAATGGGATAGCCTGGAGAAGCGTTGTATATCAATATGCACCGAAAGTTCAAGAATTTAAGAAGCATCTTCTTACATTCTATAAAGTGGTCCAGTAAATTAAAAGAATAGGAACGTGTCTGGGGGCTTATCTTTAGGCACCTTGCTTCAAAGCTTATCATGGATCCTTCAAGGACCATATATATCCATATATGAAACAAGTTGCACCAAGTCACTATTATAAATACAAGTACTTGAGATCCAAGATTCACATAACATACAAAAACACGAACACCTAAAAAGGAAACATTTTCTGAATCAATGGAAGCAAACTATATGCAAAGAGGCTTCACCAGCAATGGCAGGTTGGTCATGTCTTTGTATCAAGCACCCACCCCATCATCATCTACTGTGCATTATGTTAGCGCAGTTAATTCGAGTCAATCTTCATCAGTTGCTTCTGTGACCAGATACAATGATGGAAATTTGGGTCATCCACGTAACAGTAATAATGGTCAAGATGAGTTCCCAAGTACTATTGATGAAACCATTGATGCCAAAGCTGCAAGTTACATCTCAAGCGTTCGAAAACGGTTTAGGCTTGACTGATTTGACACAGCACTATTATGTTTCTACAGAATTATGTATAAATTCTGGGTACTTTTTTTTTCATCAACAATTCAGGAGATATTTACATTGAATTGTAAGTGAATGAAGTCAGGTAGACCTTAATTTAGTGACACAATCTGAAGGTGAAATCTGAAATGCAGCAGCAATTTCAAAAAGATATGCTGTGATGCTGTTCTGTATATTTTGCAAAATATGAAGTAGTTTAAGTTATGGTTGTATTTGTCTATTTCCCTTTCCTGGCCTTTTGGCCCAAATTAAATGATTCTTTTCCCTTTTCACTCCAAGTAATTCCTCTACACTCCCGCCCCCACCCACCACCCCCTCGCGCGCGTGCGCACAGACACAGTGGCATTTGATGTATTAGAAATCTAGAGGTAGTCATTTAAGACATCCAGAAAATATTCGAGGGAATTGTCCAAAGAAAGAAAAGAAAAGAAAAGAAAAAAGAAGAAGATTACATGGGGCTTCCTAATCTGTCCACTTTGTATCCACCATATAAAATAGAGTAAATTATATATTAATTTTTTTAGTTTTGAGAAACGAATAATTATTGCATTAGAGATAATGTCAAATTATAGGGACATATTAATTTTGCATTCAAACTACTTTGTATATCAATTTTATTATTAAATTATTTTGATTTCTCATTTAAATAATCACTTAATAAAACTTTAAGTTTCTTATAAAATAATGTCATTTCTTATGAAAAAAAAATATAATTTGGATGAAAATATAGAAAATATAGACGAAAAGTCTTAAACTTAAGTGATAGTCCTTTATTGAAAATTTCTAAAAGTTTAAAAGTAAAATTGATACGTAAAATTATTTGGTAATATTAAGAATACCTATATAGTTGGATAATATTTTTTTTTAAAAAAAAAATTGCCCCAAAGAATATCACTAGTGAAGAATTAAAAGGTTCTCCCTGTGATAGGTCCCAATCAAAGCTAATAAGATTTTTGAAATGGAATAGGATTCTACTTTGGACAAGAATGAACCACAATATTTAGTTGGAATAAACCTTGTTTCTTATTGCCTGTAAAGAGTTTATATACAAAAGAAAAATAACAATGTTTCCTAATCCTTAGATCATATCTTTAAGAAATAGGACTCCAACGACTAATTGCAACAAAGTAGCCATACTTCTTGAAATAAAAATTTCTCCTACTTCTTGACGTATTCTAAAGCAAGTTTGTGAGGTGATAAACAACTTAGACCAAGTTCTTATTGCCACTGATCCTCCAAAAGCTTCTCAACTCCTTGCATGGCCATGCACAATGACACTTACATCAAAATATTTTGGATTTCTAATGGGCACTATTTGAGACCTTCTTGGCTTATCAATACCTTCCCCTTTCACTGGAATCTTGTCCTCTAGATTCATGTTCATGACTCCATCTCGCACTTCTTGAGTGTTTTGTCAAGTAGCTTCATCCTTAGAAAGTCTCTGCCATTTGATTAAACTCTCTTCAATAAACTTGGACCTTTTTTGACCCAATGTGTGTCCAATATGGCCTCTGGTTTTGTGATAAGATCATTATCTTTAACAATAGGCAGCAATTCAGTACTAGTTGTAAGTTTTTCTCCCAAGTTTTTTTTTAAGTAGTGACACATAGAAGACGGGTGAACGAGAGAAGCTGCTGAAGTTTAAGCTTGTAGGCCATATTTCCGATCTTTTCTTCAATTTGATATGGACCATAAAATCGACTTGCAAGCTTTTGATAAGCTTGTTTAAACAGTGATTATTAGCGGCAAGGATGGAGCTTGAGAAAAACCAATTTGGCCACTTGGCATTTGATGTTCCGTCGCTTAGAATCTGCCCTCTGCTTCGTGCTATTATTTACTGCATGCAAATTGTCTTTAAGATGTCGTAGCAAAGCATCTCAAGAAGCCAAACATTAGTTTACTTAATGTACTAGACAGTTGCATTCATGATAATGTGGAATTGTTGGTGGTGGTCTTCCATATAGAGCTTGAAATGGATTCATTCCCATGGAGGCATGATAGGCTGTATTATAACAGAATTCAACCCATGAAAGAAAAGAATGCCACTTTCGAGGTTGCTGATATACAAAACACCAAAGATATTGTTCAATGCAATAGTTCACCAACTCCAATTGTCCATCCATTTGAGGACGATAGTTGGAGCTCATCTTCAATTATGTGCCTAACATCTTAAAGAATTCTCGTAAAAAATGGCTTATGAACATCGAATCTCGATCACTTATGATAGACCGAGGCATTCCATAAAGCTTTAAAATTCCTTCGATAAAATTTTCAGCTACCATTTTTATTGTATAAGGATGAGATAATGTCAAGAAATGTGTTGCTTTGCTCAATCGGTCAACAACAACAAGAATGGTATTCTTGCCATTAGAAAAGGGAAGACCCTCTATAAAATCCATGGTGATGTCATCCCAAACCTGACATGAAATTAGTAGCAGTTGTAGTCTTGTAGAAGTCCGACTGGTGACAAAGTTTCAGTTTTAGTTTGTTGGTGCACATCACAAAAAAGCAACATAATCTGATGACTAGTAAAATTGTTATGCTAATCTCTTATAAGTTCTTAGAATCCCAGGATGCTCTTCAATAGGTGAATCATGGAATTTTAGCAAGAGTTGTTTAATGAGGCTAAAATTAGGAGGTACCACCACACGGTTCTTATAACAAACCTACCTATTGTGCCTTGAGTATACCCGGTTTTTCTGTTGCTAGCTTGCTGATTTTCTTCTTGTAGGGATGGTCATTAGCTTCGACTTTGATTGTTTCTCATAATAGAGTTTGAGACACAAACAAGGCATCAAGACTAAGATTGCCTGCCACCCTTGATAGCACATCCGCTGCACTATTCTCTCGATCAGTTTTGTATTTGATTTCATAACCATAGCCAAGTAATTTATTCATCCATTTTTGTTGCTCAAGTGTCGCCATGTGCTTCTCCAACAAGTACTTAAGCCTGAATTGAATAGTTTGGATATAAAATATTTGGCCTAGCAGGTAGGGTCTATGTTTGGATGGCTTGAATTATTGCTAGCGTTTCTTTAGCGTATGTGGACCAAGATCGTTTGGTGGTGGCCAAGGCTCGACTCTTGAATGCAATTAGGCTTTCTTGTTGAGTTAAAACGGCTCGTGTGCTGTTCCCTGAAGCATCTGATTCAAAGATGAATGGTTCATTGAAATTTGGCATAACCAGCGTAGAAGTTGAGGTTATAACTCTCTTAAGATCATGAAAAGTAGATTTTGCTTCTTCTATCCACCCAAATTGCCCCTTTCCTTTTTAAGATATTGGTGATAGGACGAGCTATGATGTTTTAGTTATGGACAAATTTTTGATAGCGACATGTAAGGCCTAAAAATCCATGCAACTCAGAGACATTAGTAGGCCTTGGCCAATTCAGCATGGTTTTTTTTTTTTTTTTTTTTTGACCCACTTTAACTTCTTGTAAAGTTACAATGCACGCTAAATATTCTAATTTTTGCTAACCAAATGCAAATTTTTTAGGTTTAGAAAATTGATGATGCATTAATATTTCAAAAGCCTTTTAAACATGTTCAAGATGCATGGTCCAATTAGGGCTATAAATCAAAATGTAATTAAAAAAAAAAAAAACTAACACAAATTTGTAAAGCTAAGGTCAAACTATGAAATTCCTAATTGCATGAAAGGTACACGAAGCGTTACAAAAACCAAAAAACATGACTAAATATTCATAATGACCGTTTTGGTTATGAAATGTAGTTTTATGAATATCTAGAGAATGTACTTGTACCTAGTGATATCCTGCATGTAAATCAAGTATGGTAAAATAAAAAGTTCCATGGAGCTCATCAAGTATATTATCAAATGTAGGAATTGAAAATCAGTCCTTGATGGTTACAGCATTGAATGCTTTATAGTTAGTACAAAAAAGCCATGGACCATCTTTTTCTTTTTTTACTAATAAAACAAGAGAAGAAGAAAAATACTAGTATTAGATCTTATAGGCCCTAATTTTAAAGTCATAAAATTATCTTTCAATCTTATCTTTTTGAAAATAGGCATACCTATATGGTCTCACATTGATGGGCTTGGTTCTTTCTTTTAAATTGATATGATGATTCACTTCTCTTGTGGGAGGTAGTTGCTTTGGTTCTTGGAATATGTCTTCAAGATTTCCCAATAGTTGTTGCATTTCGGACTAGGCATCCTGTGGTGTAGAGTCGATTTGTGGTTCGAAGACAAATGGCAATTATTAAGCTTCCATTTCACACTTCTTTGGAGATAGCTTTCATTGATGCAATTTGAATTGATTTGTGGATCAATTCCTTGCAATTTTTTAGTTTGGTTGTTCCACTAGAATTCCATTTTTAATTGTTTCCAGTTATATGCCATTGTTCCCAATTGTTTCAACCAATGGATACCTAACAACAAATCCAACCAAATCAACGAGTAAAGCATAAAGAGTGAGAAAAAAAGGAATTCTTAAAGAGGAAAACTTGGACATTCTTAAACCTTTTTTGAAATTTTAATGGTCCTCCATTAACTACCTTCACATTGAAAGGTTTGATGGAAATCACTAGCAATTGTAATAAGTCTGTCCATTTTCTTACTAATAAAATTATAAGTGGACCCGTTATCAATTAAAACAACCATTTCATAGTGTCTAATTTTTGCCATCACTAGTGTGATCCGGTAAGCTAACCATCCCGAAAATGTATGTAAAGATATCTTAGGTTGAGTTTCCTCATCATTTGAATTGTTAGTGTTGCCTTTTAACAACACGAAGTTGCGGACTACGACACCTATGGCCAGTGTAAATTTTTCATCACAATTAAAGCAACGTCCATGTGCCTTCCTCTTTTGCATTTTTCCTAAGTGAGTCATTTCACCGAGGATGCGAGCTTTGATTTTGGTTAGAGAAAAAGATTTAGCTATTGAACAATTCAATGGCTAGATAGATTTCTACTATCGACTTACTTGATCATCTCTCATTCGTGCA